AGTAGAAAATATCCACAGCCGCCGAACAGCATTCAGGATACAGCAATAGCAGCAAGAGTATAATAGAAATAACAGTAACAAAACTGGTAATGGTAATAATAGTAACAGTAGTTGTATTCCTGACCATGACGACGGTGACGATGATGATTACGTTGTCAGTACTCTTTGCTAATATAGCAGAAGTGGCAGTAGCAGCAGAAGTGGCAATAGTAGCGGTAGTCATATGAGGGCTTACATAAATGGCCTCAGCGGTGGTTTTCCAGGGGTGGCTGGTCGTTATAAGTGGAAGACTTCGAGGTCTCGCAGTCGAGCAAATTGTGATGACGCATTCTGGGTGCCTGTTAAGGAACTTAGGGCAAGTATGATATCGTAGTTTCCCTAAATAGGGAGACCCCAATCTAGACTCATTTACAAGAAGGCGCCCCCTATTTCGGGAAACCCCCATATTGATCTACAGTAAAGGACACGTTTCCTTACAATAGCAGTCTTTCCAAGGTCTTTGACCACAACTTGCAGGGAGCCGATGAGAAGCTGACGTGGGCTTTCAACAACTGCCCGGAAAAGCCGCGAGCCCAAGAAATCCTGCTTATATGTAAGTATATAGTTGTATCATCTTGGGGGGCCTTCATTCTGAGGGGGATTGGGGGTTATTATCAGGGATGGGGACACAACAACCCTTGCCTTTCGTTTTGCGGTTTATGACTAAGGACTATACATCCCTCATTCTTCTGCATGAGGTGAACTTGAGCATGCTTTGAATCCATGTTTGATGTAGGTATTCAGGCAATTAAAAGGTGTTTACCCTTCCCTGATTTCAAAGATACTGCCATACAGGTAGTGAGGTCGTGCTTGTGCGCGGCTTGAAGCGGCAGTTTCAGAGCGTCAGGCATTGAAAGGACTGTCCATCTGGATCAGTTGAGTCGATTGCTGCAGCTTTACTCAAGAAGGCTTGACATTTAGTCAGATCAAGCGCCATGGTGCGCTTGTGTCGCCCCTGTGCCCGAGCGCGCTGTAGCCATTGTGGCAAGAACGTCGGGATGTTTGGCATCCAGGGGCTTGGCTGGAGCCTGCGGCTTCATGAAGCAAGGTGGGAGGCGAAGGCTTAACGTATGTTCCTGAAGCGCGAAGGCAACACAAAGCATAGTAAAACCGATAACATCCTTTAGCGGAAATGCTGCTTTCATGCAGCTGTTCAGGACATTCATGGCACAGCTTTGGGAAGTTGAGCTCGTGCAATAAGCGGTTATGGGTTGAGGGATTGATATAATATACATTGGTACTTGGGCTTTGGACTAGCTTTCGCTATTTGAGCTGGCATTCAGGTCTTCAGCAGCTGCAAAGTTTAAAAAAGCGATAAGAGCAACACTCACCGGTAACAACTCTTTGGATAAGCAACTGGTTACGGGGTTTCGCGTAATTACGTGAGCCCCAGGTGCGGTGCAGCAGCAGCCTCGACAATCGAAACAGCAGCGCCGGCCATGCCTGCAGCTCAGCCTCTGCCTGCAGCTGGGCTTGTGCAAGCGGCCAGGATTCTGGCGTCACACGTGGACCCGTTAACAGACGCTTCGGCTCTTGGCGTGGAGGATCTGCTGCGATTCCTTCACATCACAAAGGAAGAATTGAAGCAATTGATTGAAGCCGACGCAGAGACTGCGAATGAGGTAATGCGCCTGGGCGTTTTCACATGGCGGCCAGGTTCAAGTGATGACGGTCCGCTCGGTGTGGCCATGGGGGTTCGTCCCGGCGATCCAGGGCAAATCGTTATCAAAGCAAGACCAGAAAGGCTGCATTCTAGGATGCTGCGCCACGTGGGATGCCAAGAGCAGGCAATGGAGGTGGAACACATTTCAAACGAGCTCCCACGCTGGCAGGATGTTAACATTGAGTACCTGGTAGAATACGCGGAAGATTTTCGTGACATGGCGATGAAGCGCTGCGCAAAGCTACAACAGCTGAATCAGCGCCTTTCGGCCAATCTAGTGGCCGGCCGTGGTGGAGGTTGAGTTGGAAGAGATGTAGCCGCACATATCTTACTCTGGATGTGTGAAAGCCAATCTCGATAATTTTCTGGCAGATGCGCAACTTCTCCTTCACCACTGATCTTCCGGATTTCATAGAGGGCGGTCTGGATGAAAGTGCCTAGTTGCTCCGCTACGATGTTAGGGGTGGTTTGTTGCCAGTCCGCTTGGATGAAATCCCCTTTGCACAATGCATCGAGGAATAATGCTTTTTGTTTAAAACACAGTTTCACCATCTAACCAATCATTGCGGAAAGGAGGAGCAGCATGGAGGTGCATAAAACTATTTAAAACTAAGCCACATGCTGCTGCAGCTGCCTGCGCATTGCGTTTGCGAACCCAATTTCATGCTTCAGGCTGTTTCCTTTCCATGCAGCTATTGGCGCCACGCTGTCGTGCCAAAAAAAGGTCAGTGTTCCAACAGAACGACGCAAGGGGAACTTTCGGTAGGATTCGTGAGCGCGAGGTAAGCACATGCTCCGGTTGTAGTTGCTCCGGGCTTGGAAGTGTTACAGCGAAACTGTAGCTTTTCAAGGAAGCTAGAGCCAAAATGAAAGACAGCCAGTTCTTTTGTCGCCTTTTGTTGAGAACGACTGTGCCGAGGGCTGCGAGCTTAGCATGCGTTTCTGTTGGTTTGCAGTGGTCATTTTCGCGCTGGGTGCTAGCACTGGCATGGCTATGTATCATGACCGTTCTTAACCCAGGTAGGAAATACTTAAGCTGCAGCCAGGTTGTATGATCTGCCGTATAGTTACGGTTCTAGATAGCTTTCATGCTTTGTAATATACATACCTCGTCTTGCTAGCTGTCCTGGTCTACACGGCTTGGAGCATCACGTGAAGAAAGTCATAGATCCCATGGCGCAAGACCAATCTGTAGGAATCTTAGCCACCCTAATCTTCCTGTTTCCAAGTCGCCGCATTCAATCAAACCGAAACTGTTTCAACAGGACTGTCTTGTACGAGACCTTCTGCAATAAAGCCTGCGACTGACAGGGGGAACATATGAGGATTCTTGTTTCTGGGTGTATACGTGCTCGGAACTCGGCTCTCTCCCTGAGGAAGAACCCCCCAACCCCATGATAATGAGCACGCCCCAATACGGTATCATGTAGCCTGGGGAGCATTCTTTATGGAGTTTTAGATCCTAACCGCGCAAACCACATATGATACCAGTTCCCAAGATATTGTCCACTTGCTTTTCGATTTGATACTCCATTAATGGGATGACCTTGAGCCACCCTAAACCTTTGACCCTACTCATCATCCTCTACAGGGGTAATCTAAAACCCAAAACCCTCACGCCCAAACCCTAATCCATTCTGTAAAGCTATGTTCCACGCACTGGAATTGATAACTGAGGGCCCTGGCCAATCGCCGGCGAATTCTGCCGCTTGCTGCAATTTGCCGTGCCCGGGGTATACATGGAGAATCCCAACATGGGGATTTGTTAGAATTTGCGGTGCCGTTTTTGGGGGTCCCTATATTCATAGTCATAATCGTAATTTACTGGGTTACTACCATATGTATGAAACTTGATCGTTTGAATGACTCCGCAAACAAGTGCTGTGCCCACATTCTTTGCCTTTTTCACTTCGCCATTCAAAATGTCTGACTGCGATCCTGCTTCGCGACTGCAATCTTCTAGTGACGTTGAACCCTCAATCCCAAATTAGGGTTCGGGTTGCGAGCAAGATTCTGCGTGCCGTATGCTATTTGACACCGAGACGAGCTCACAATTTTGAGAATAACAACCCTAACCATTAAACCCTAAACTCTAAACTCTGAAGCCCTGAAACCCTCAATCCTAAACCCTCAACTTTAAACTCTAAACCCTAAATCCGAAACCCTAACTTTCAAACTCTAAACCCTGAAGCCCTAAACCCTAAACCTATCAGTTCCTTGCCAGGTTGTACAGTTTCCATTGTCTTGTCCATTATCCCTGTATAACCCCTATATAGCCCCAAAATTTTGCCAAAACCCTAAGTTTCCATTTTCTGTTCCTTCATGCCAATATCACCCTTACATAACCCCAATTTAACCAACACATTTTGCTAGGTTGTATTTGGTACCCTGCAAGCTCCGCCTCGGGGTTCTTCCGACACAGGCAGCTGAACTGGGGGGGGGGGTGTAGGGTTTGGGGGTTGGGGTTTAGGGTGTAGGGTTTATAGGGTTTAGGGTTTAGGGCAAGCTCGAGATGATGCAGAACTATTCATCTTAATGGTTCTTAATATTGAATAAGGGAATGTATAATCCTTATCCCAATGTACTCGATTCCCATATTCCCTACTAAGAACCAATTATTCATTCATTTGAGGGGATCCCAGAAAATCAAGGCCCCTGCTGAGCATCCCGCTTGTAAGGATGATAGCAACCTGGGGTCCATAGTGGGATCCCCTATTTGTGGAACCCCCTTGGGCGCTTCCCAATTTGAGGGACAATGCTTTGCAGGGCTTCCTACCAAAAGAATCCCTGCTCTCTGGGCTGCCGACTTGCACGTTCGGCATTAATTCTCCATGGTCCCTGAGGCTAACATATTCAGATTTAGGTACATACCTGACAGTCCATTTTCCATTTCTATGATATATCTCTCATTCCTTCATGAACGGATTGTGTGGGATGGGGATGGCGACTGCCAGTTCGTTTGGTACATGGCAAGGCGAGCCACAGGGGTTGCCGGTGGCATTATCATCATGTTCCCCCTGAGCTGAACCCTAAACCTAAACTCCATTAAAAGTTGTTTGAAGGATGCGGGGCCTTTCCATAAAGGTAAGTGCAGTGAGGGATTGTCTGAGCAAACAGATTGAACGTTTGCTGACTTCCTTGTTTGTTCAAGGTCCTCAGGTGATTTTCCTGCTGCTGGGGCAGATTGCAACCTCAACAGTTGATTGATATGTGGATTCCTCTACATTATGGGCATTCTTTTAGGAGCCCTCAAAATCATCTTCCAGGAACGCCAATATTCTGGCTGGTCTGCCTGCATGCTTGCTGAAAGTGTAGAAGCGGCATACTCTAAAAGTAAATTTGTTGATGCTTGAGCCCTTTCCGTCGGCACAGGAGCTTTTGCACAAGTACGACTTGGACGTGTTCTTCGATGTCGTGCGTGCCATCAAAGAGGCTGGCACGCCACGCCAGTGTTTGGCAACGTGGGTCTGGGTTTTTCCCAAAATCCTATGCCCATCCGAAGTCCCATAACTTACTTATGCTTCGGTGGAAATGTGGCCGCGCGCCATAGACTTCATTGCGCGGATTATGTAGGGACCTTTGAAGCCCATGATTCACCTCTTCACTTACTGGTGGTTAGAACAGAAGGTGGGAATATACTCCCCATGTATATGTATATATATGTTCCCTATAGAATCTATTCCCTTTAATTATTCTCCACTGACCACCCCTAAACCCTAAACCGTAAGTTCAGGGCAATGTGCAGCTCTTCAATCAGCGGATGCAGGAACTTAGCGCTGCCTGGGGCTCAGTCACCAAGCTGGAAATGCTAGATATGGGGGTGATATTAGGGTTATGTTGGGGTTATATTGGGGTAATGTTGGGGTAATATTGAGGTCATGTTGGGGTTATATTGGGGTTATATTACCCTTAGGGTATAAGGGGGTCCGCAATTACTCAGCAAGCGCGAAACTCTCGTCATGTTTTATGCAGTCCATGCAAGCCAGGATCTTATCAAGATGGGCACATACCTTCTGATGATGCGCCTGAAGTTCATGGTGGACCCCTCAGCTCCCTGTCCCGCAGGTTGTAGTGCTCCTCTCGGAGATTCTGGGAGTTACTTACAGCCAAATTATACCTGGTACTTATACCCAATTCTAACATGCTTGGGGGACTTGGGGGCTTATACTTGGCTATAAAATGAATACAGTTCGAAATAACTCGAACCTCCAAGCTTCGCGCTTCATCCGTACCTCAGGTCCTACGCAACCTCACCAAGGGGATCTTCCGTGAAGTGCGGGGGAGGTCACAGAGCAAGAGCGGCGCATAGCACACATAGCGGCACATAGTTGAGGATTCGACGTTCAGCAGGCTCCTGCTGCTGGTGTGGAGCATGTTTTGCGGCCCAACAATGCTCCACTTTGCTTCATCTCGAGTATTCCTACTCAGTGCCATTTGGGGGTACTCGTAGCTGTTTCAAGTATACTTGGCAAACGGCATGCGGAAACTAGCTGCAAGCAGACCCTGAAAGTGGTGTAAGCCGCATTTGATGGTATACATCAATGTGCAGTTGCAATGCCCTACTGTAAACCTGCACGGAAGCCTGTTCAGCCAAACATTCCAACCATCGGAGCTTGAGGGAATCCCAGGCAAGTTCATTGCTGCGTGCAGTCCACAATTGGACAGGTCCTTCCCGCGGGCGAGACGATTCTAATATTCGTCTGCCATGCTTCCCCAAGCAGATAAGAAGGGCATTTATGGCTGCCTCAGTCACGAAGCTGCAGGCTCACGGACAAGAGTGACAAGCTGGACTTTGCGCCGTCGCCCACCCGCATTTTACTTGTCACCAGTAACAACGGGGCCAGCTAGACAGGTGTTGCGCGGAAAGCCGATGTGCGACAGTAAGGTTCGAGCATGTCTTTGGCTGGCAAGATGGGTGTGACGCGGATGAAACAGCCCCCGGCCTCAGGACAGTCTTGAACTTGGACACGAGGGTCCCTGGTAGAAATTAGCGAATGGCTGTCTTTAGACCATTCGTGTTACTAGGAGAAAATACCATAATTACTGAATTCGACAGCTACTGGGGTTACAGCTCAGCGGTATGGGTCAACACAGAGACTAAACCTTAAGCATGTAGTTGGAGTTGCTCAACATCCTGGCCTCTTTTTCGGTAGGATCACCTTGAAACAAGGCAAGCTCGATTTCTGGTGCTCAGCTTGAAAAGTCTTGCCTCAAGGGGCTTCCTTTCAGCACGATTCAGGTACCAAGACTCCAGATCCATCAGGTTTTTTAGACACTTGCAGTGCAGAAGACTGCCTTCTTAAAGGGGTTGGGGAACTCAGGCAGCCTCCTTGGCGACGCTGATCTACAGCGGCGCGGTTAAGGGGCCAGAAGCCCAGTCCACTCTTCGCCTGGAAGGCGCATCAATCTGCTTCAACATGAGGTACTTGAGCCACGACCGCCGCAAGGTAGTCTTCGCGAAGGCGTGGGGCATTCTTCTGGTTCAGCATCGCCAAGATTTGACCTCAATTGCATGACTAGGCTGCACTGAGACAAGCTGTTGCCAGGACGCCCCTTTCCCGCCGCCCTCGAAGTGGCGCGTGTGAGCGGAACGAGCCTTGCCTCAGAATGCAGCCAAAGAGATGTTGCGTCACGGAATGTACCCAGGGATGCTGCAGGGTGGCTTCAGCAGGCGCAAGTGGCGAAGCGTGCATCACAAAGCTGTGTTGATGCCTTATCGGCAGCAAGAGCCTGGGTGTTGACTGGCGCATGCAGCTCAGACCCTTGGTCCTTATCCTTGTCAGTCTTTGAGATATCCTTCCACTACACGCCACGCTTCATGAGCTTCTGGCTTCCAGGATCGTTTCTGAGATGATAACTGAAGTCTGATCCCTGAGACAAGCTCTAAAGGCAGAGTTACTCCTGCTCATTGCTATCATGACTACGCTTTTGTACAGTTTTGATTGTGTCCCGCAATTGTCTTTCTGCAGACGCGAGCTGACGAGGGAAGGCGAAAGCAGAGGGTGTGGCATGCAAGCTGCAGCTGCGACTTAGAAGTAGTGTTGCAGGTTGTTATACCGTTTTTTTGACAGTGTTATCATGCTAACTTCAGAGGAGTGAAGAACTTCAAGCTGACCTCGTTGAAGGCAGAACCCTGTCAAACTTGCACCCCACACCCCTGCAGTGTTTGGGTCTCAAACCCCTCAAACTCTGAACTAGAAAGCGCTGCAGCATCACAATTCCTCTCGAAGTTCAACCCTAAATCCTACACCGTAAACCTTAAACCTTTTCATGCTGATTCCCAAGCTTTTGGGCATGTGCCGGCTTCCTTCATGGCCCAGGCCAGGAAGGTGCTTGTGCCATTGTAATCCTCTCTCACCCTATAATATTATCCCCCCCCTTGGTATTACATACTCCCAATGTATTAATACCACATAATGGGAGTGTTTAATATTAGAGGGGTGGGGGGGTTGATATTAGTGGGAGGGGATTAATGCTAGTACGTTTGCTACCCTTTTCGCTTCTTTTGCCTCTTTACGGTTGGTGCTCAAATGCCTACCTGATCCTAAGTACCTAATACCTTGGCGCAGCATGTCATAACTACAGTATACTTAGGTCATACAGGTTTTCAGACGTTTTCAGTATCAACCGTATGCAGAGATAGTTTGCAGGGGTGAGGGGTTGCTGGATCGCACAGGGATGGAGGGTTGACAGATATCCAGGTCGCCTCGGCTGCGACTCGTACTTGGATGTACCAGAAACCCTAAAACTCCTCAGTCCCTAACCCATACATCCTGAACCCCCGAACCCTAACCCATGCCAGAAGGTCGACCTCACTCCGCAGATCCCATTTTCACGGGTCCCCCTAGTGCCCTACCCAAACTACCCCTTGGGTTCCCTATTAATCAAGGTTATTCTGTATAACTAGGCCGTTTTAGTTAAGGGGACGCTAGGTACGTATTAAGGCTATTAGGGATAACTAGGCCTCATATGTGTAGGAGGACGCCAAGGTGGGTAGTAGGGGAACCCAAGTTGAAGCTGCCTGCGTATCCGCGACTGGCAGGTGGATGTGACTTGGCAGGCCAGGCCTGGGTCTTGACACTAGAAATTGAGACCATCAGAATGCGGTCCCGGGGTCCCTAGGAGGGCTAGGGGTTCTCATCCTGAACCCTAAACCCTAAATCGTAAACCTTCAAGCCCATATAAACTTACCATTTCTTAGGGTTCTCAAGTCTCATGAATCTTGATTCCGAAGCTTTAAGCTCACAATGACATCCCGCAGACCTTAAGTAATGGTAAATCCTAGACCCTAAACCTCAAACCCACACCCTCAATCGTAGTTTCCATTCTCTTTTCCGTTATCCGAATATAAACCCTAAATCCTAGACCCTAACTTCGCTAAATTAACCTTAAACCCTAAATCATCATCATCATCATCATCATCATCCTGATGCATGCCAGGTTGAGGATGGCGCTCGCCATAACTTCTCCCCAGCTTCAGTTCGTTACGCCAAGGGCCTTGGCCCAAGTGGGGTTAGACAGGGATATTGTAGAGGGCTATATCGGGATCATGTAGAGGGTTATATAGGGGTTTGTAGGGATATATAGGGATATATCGGGACATATAGGAAATTGATTGAGGGTGAGTGTAGAAGCGATACCTGCGTGTGAAGTAGGGCTTAGGGTGGGGGAGTGGGCAGGATTAGGGTTCAGGGTTTACAGGAAGGGTGAGTTTTCAGGTCAAGGGAACAAGCGCTTGCGGGGTCTCGTGAGTAGTTTTGAAGGACAATCCACGCTCCCAGGGCTGAACTCTAGGTTGAACTCCAGAACCTGAATGCTCGAAGCCAAAAAACGCCAAGCGCAGCAAATTCCAACCCTAAAAGCCTTCTAATGCCCCAGAAATGCTTGAGGTTATGCCCCGCACAAAGGCGTGTCAGATCTGGCACCTTCATCCAACCCCTCAATGCCTATTTAGGGGTAATATAATATCCCCACATAATCCCTATATATCCTTAAATAACCCCATGTAACCCCGTACAACCACCCTTTAACCCTAAACCTAGGGTGGCTCCCGATGCTCAGGCCTCTTTGTAGCTTCAGCTCCCTGCTCCGACCTACCCGGATGGGGCGCGGGGGTCAAGGATTTGGAGCTTGCGGGGCAGGATTTCAATTGTGGATGGCGGTGGCAAGCATGCCGGCTCCCAAAACAGGAGTCCCCTTGTCTCAGGAGTGTTCGAAGATTTCGATGGAGGGCTTAGGGCTCATGGGGTTCAGCAGCGGGTGCGAGATTTCATGGGATGTAGGTTTTGTTCATCCTGAATCGTGGCTGCAACTGCCATTCCAGCACAAAGACCCAGGCTCTGGCCGCTTTGGCTCCGTGGTTGTTCACGCAAAGACTAGCTGGATGAGGGCCAGACGAGTCATGCAAAAGGCATCACGTAACAATATGGGTACTGTTACAAAAGAACATGTTTGAGATAACCATGCCAGTATTGATCTGCCACCTTTAAGAGACAGTCACAACAGCACCCTGTTTCAGGCATGGGAGATGCAGACTTGGCTGCCCGCATGATGGTGCGCCGCAGACATGGGTCCAAAACTGAAGTGATCCAGCAAGTGTCAGAAGGATAGAATTTGCGGAGGTCGAAAGTAAAGCTTCATGTAGAAATGGAAGAGTCCCTCAGGCAAGCAAGATGTTTTGCTTTGAAGGTAGTAGTACTGGAGATTACTGGAGCAGTTTCAAGCTAGGTACTTTCAGGATGTTATTGTGGGGTGTGGCCTTGAGATTCAACTTGCTGCAGAGCAACACGCGGCCTTCCAAGTCGCAACGAGACGCTTGCTGTGCGCAGTCGCTGACTTCTTGGCTGGACTTGCTATTCCAGCCTGAAGCCCAGATGATCTCTGATGATGGAGATGCTCGGGACACACCGTGATTCCAAGTACAGCTTATACGGACATCCAATCAAGGTCGTATACACATGTATTATGCATGTTGGTCTGGAGAACGGCCGAGATGCAACTATTGCTATCATGAGGCATGATGTACACCCACAGGGACCCTGATCTTCCTAAACTTCCAACATCAGTAAGACCCAGGTGCAAGATCAAGCACGTGCTGTGCCTAATGGGAGACGAGGTGCACAGCTGTCCAGCTCTTGTGGAAGGTTGGTCAGGTACTGGTGTAAACCAGCTTCAAGGCAATTCTGTGGGGCTTTTATAAGGCAACATGAGGACCTATGAGGAAACAGAATATACAGTCCAAAGGGCACTTTGAGCCCCATCCGATGGAAGCTGTAGCAGTGTGGCTCAAACCTCCCTCATTGGCATCGCCTCGTTTCCCATCATGGCTTGCACCGCTGACAAGAAGGCGCCCTACCAAGGATCAGCTTAGGCTTTTTGCAAGCAACCTTTGTGCCTGGATTAGGTTTCCTTGTTGTGGCACATCACCTCGCGTACGTGTAGCGTTACATGGTAGCTTCCATTTTCTTTTCCATTATCCCTCCATAACCCCAATAATTCCCTCATACAACCCCAATATAACCCCTATATAACCCCAATATAACCCTAACATAGCCCCAATATAACCCCAATATAGCCCTAATATATTCCTAATATAATCCTAACAGGATAGTTGCCCCAATATAACCCAGGCTATGCAAAGCGCGGCCTCCCCTCTGAGCGCCTCTCCCGGTGACGCAGCGGCCGGGCTGCCCTCAGAAGCGCCGGCGCCAGCTGTCGAGGCTCATTGGGGTTATACTAGGGTTATATTAGGGGATATAGTAGGGTTATATTGGGGTAATATTGGGGTTATAGTAGGGTTATATTTTAGGGTTATTTTAGGCTTATATAGGGCAACTACTATACCATAATAGGGTATATATTGGGGGTTATATATGGGTTATATAGGGGATATATTGGGATAATGGAAAAGAAGATGGAAACTACTATGAGGCTTACAGTAGGAACTTCTTCATGACGTCCAAATTGCAAAGGCATCATGCAGGCATACTTTGGATCCTAAGCCCTGAACCCTAAACCCAGGGGAGGCCTAAGGGTTATTGTGGAGGTAGGCAGGCCTTCTCGAGAGATCGCGGTGCAAACCAGCGACTGACAGAATCAGCTAAGCCCTATGCGCTACGCACAGACGTCAAAGGCCCCAGAGTTTAAAACGAAACCAAAGCTGCCTTTCAGGTCGCTGCTCGGCATGAGGCCTGCCTGCAGAAGTGGCAGGCGGGAGGGGGCAGCTACAGGAGCTTGCAGTTTGTCCGCCTGCAATGGGATGTTTAGGGTTTCAA